GAGCTGCTCATCCACTGGAACACGGCATTGTCCTGGCACCACACGGATCCTGCTCCCTGTCTGTGTCAGCAGGAGTTTATGGCCTGTCTCCACTAGGAGCAAAAATAGAAAATCCCACATCTTTAAATAAGAAACTCTTAGAGAACAGGCAAAAACTTCCAAAAAATCCCACAATTCAGAGGCAACAAAATCGAGTTGATGCAGTGGTGTTGTCGTGTTTGCAGTGAGCCATTCAGGGGTGATTCAGCTCTCACACCTCCCCCTCCACATGGATCTCCAGGGAAGGGAGGAGGGTGGCTGCTGCAGGAGCTCACAATCCACACAGCTGTCACCTTCTCCAGCGCTAACAAAGCCTCTGGATGCTTCCAACAAAACCCAAAGCCACTGGCTCAGACAAGTATCTCCACTGCCCAGAAGTTCCTTGTGATATCCTGCTGGGCAGTGATCCAGGCAGGAGCCATCTCCTGAGTTATCTCCAGGTTCCCTTAGTTCTGGAGGGGAGGGAGGGACAGGGAGTGAGCACTGAGCAGAGGTTGGAAGGGATGGTGGTGTTGGGACATCAGGTCCCTCCCCTGCTCAGAAAAGGGCTCATTTCCACCTCATATCAGGTTTCTCAGAGCCTTCATCCTCCAATTTCTCCTCCTCTTAACCCTATAGGACCCTTTGCAGCACGTTTAACCTGCTGTGTCCCTTCTTGCTGAGGATCCAGGAGTGAGTTTCCCTCTGTGCCCACATCTTGGAGCTCACTGAAGGACCTGGTGTCCCTGTGAGGCCCCCTGACCTGGGACACTGAAACCCCCTTGGGCAGCAGGGACCCTCTGCACCCCGAGGCAATGGGCTGGGTGGTGGGTGACACAGAGCCAGGAATTCCCATGGGTTCCACTGCCAGGACCCACAGCAATCCCTCTTCAGCTCCCACACAGACACCACCAGCAAATTTATTCCCAGCACCAAGGCTGTCTTCTCTCCAGGAGGAAGGGAATGACCTTTGATTGAGGCTTGAGCCATTTCCTCTAATGCTCTCCGAGCTTTTTTTGGATAAATCCGTCCCTTGCTGGTCTCATGTGACCTTCTCATGTGACATCCATATCCCAGTGGGATGGATTTGGATGGAAAGGGCAGCAAGGCAGTGCCTCAACCAAGCTTGACTTCCTTTAAAGGAGCATCAAAGCTGTTTTCCTGCTGTCCTGGGAGCAGAGGAGCATCTTTATCCTTGAACATGAAAAAGGCAGGAGGTGCAGGACCCCCCTCTCCACCAGGCCCCAACCAAACCCCCCTGAGCCATGGGGTGACAGTGATGTGTTTGTGACAGATCCATTTGAGGATCATCAGTCCTCCCAAGCAGGAGAAGGGAGCTCTCCATTGCCAGCCTCACCTGCTCCATATTCCCAGTGCATGTGTTCAGGAAGTTTCTCCTTCCCTGCTGCATCCATGGCAAAGGCAGGAAAATGCACAAACTGGCAAAATTCATCCCTTTGCCCAACACTCTCTAATTTATCCTGATTAAATGTTGTCACTCTAATTTATCCTGGTTAAACTTTGGCACTTGGAGCTCCATGTGCTGCAGCCAAGCACTGTGACCTCCATCCCTTCTCCAGCCTCTGGAGGGGCTCACACAAACTTTGTTGGAGTTTTCAGAGCTAACAAAGCTCTCACTGTTAAATGATGGGTGGGGGAGATTTAGACTGGATATTCAGGAAAATTTCTTCGTGGAAAGGGTGGTCAGGTATTAGAACAGGATGCCCAGTGTTGTTGCTATTTTTTTGTATATTTTGAGGAAAAGAGGAAATTGCCTCAAGTTGTGCCAGGGGAGGTTTAGGTTGGATATGAGGGAAAATTTCTCCATGGAAAGGGTTATCCAGCCCTGGCACAGCTGCCCAGGGCAGTATTGGAGTCCCCATCCCTGGAGGGATTTAAAAGCTGTGTGGATGTGGCACTTGGGGAGCATGGGTTAGTGGTGGCCTTGGCAGTGCTGGGGGAACGGTTGGACTCGATGATCTTGGTGAGCTTTTCCAACCTTACCAATTACATAAGCTCCGTGTCTGAGCCCCTCCGGCAACCCCAGCCCCTCTGCTGGTCTCTACAAGAGCTGAGGCCGTGTTTTGGCTGAGCAGGGGAGTCAATTTGAGGGTGCTGCTCCCTCTCCATCCCGTGTCAGGCCTTTGGGGCTTCCCTCACTCCCAAGGGGATCTGGGAAAAGGATGGCAGCCGCTAACTGTGCCAATGAATGCCATGGCACACGTCGTTAGGAGATCAGCACTAACGAAGGGGGATCCTCTGGGGCCCTGGGAAGAGCCTGGGGAAGAGCAGGGATGTGGCAGAGCAAATCCAGTGCTGGAGACACAGGGAAGGGACCCTGGGGCTGCTTAGGGGATTTGGGGCACAACTTTGAGTAGCCCCAAAGTGTTGACTGGGAGCAGGATGTGGGATGGGGGTCCAACAGCATCCCAGGTACCAGGGAACATCAGAGCCCAGCGAGGATATTCCCAGCTGGCTCTGCCCAGCCCTGTGAAACCCATCACCCTGAGATCACTTGTCCCATGACTCACCTCAAGCCACCCCAATATTTCCTCCTCCAAACCCCCATTTTCATGTTTTCCACCCATTTTTTCCTCCCCGTTCCCACCTCACCCTCCCCTTGATTCCCGTAAGTGATTCCGCGTGGCGGCTGCGGAGCCTCTGCAACTTGGAAAAACATTTTATTAACCTTCCTTGACTTTAAAGAGCATAATTACATTTTAATCTCATATTCCTGCGTTATCATTCCAGACACAGAGTCATTTGGATGCAGATCATTCCCGGCTTAATGTAATTTTACGATACAGTAATGAGGAGACGGAGCAGGAGCGCGGAACACCCAATTTAGAGCTGACATTTGGGGTTCTTTTAAAGAAAATTTTTCCCAGCCGAGGGCTTTTGCGTCCTCCTCGGCCCTGCAACGTAAGTGGGTTTGGGCTCCCGCTGTGAAGGGATGGATTTGGATGGGGAAGCATGGCTGGTGTTACAATAACACGGGTCATTAAATCCCCCACGGCCGCGCCACGTGGGTGGTTCGGCGTCACGGGGCAAATTTGGGAACTCGCCGCTCCCTTGGTCCCGGGGAGAACTGAGTCAGGGGCTGCATTGCCTTCGTGCCCCTTGAAGGGGGGAGATCATCCTCATGTTACCCAGCAAAAAGCCCCAAAAACCAGGACTACCAGCCCCCGGGGTTGATCCGTGCTCCAAAATCACAGGAGCTGGGAGCAGGCTGGGCCCCCCCAGAACTGCCCAATAAAAGGCTTCCCCCTGTGTGCCTCAGTTTCCTCTGGGGGGCAAAGGGATGCTCTGGGCTCCAGCCCCCTCCAGAGCTCCTCCCTGGTTCCTGTGGAGCTTTTTAAAGTGTTCTGGTTTTCCAGGTGACAGCAGGGTCACAGTTTCCTTTGGGATGCTGGAGCAGAGCAGCCCCCTCCTCACCCAGGGTACACCAGTCCTCCTTGCTCCAATCAGGGCTGAGCTGCTCCAGGGCACTGATCCGGCAGAAAAGGAATGTTAACGAGGGGGAGAAAATAAAGCCACTAATGAGAGGGGGGGGAAACCCCACATTCAGCCACCCCAAGTGACATCCAGGCTGATTTTGATGGTTCTCTGCCTCAGTTCCCCACCTTTGAGCTCAGGGTACAAAACCACCCCAGAGGCTGGGTCACAGCTGGCAGCACCCCCACATTGCCCACCCTCCCTCCCAGCACCCCCAAACAAGCCCCTCCTGATCATCACGAGCCAGCATTTTTGGGGGGGAAGGAGGAGGTGGGTGCTCACAGGGCCCAATTCCCCTCTGTGTATTAATTCATGTTGCTGAATTTCACCTCAGTGTTGCTGGGAAAGGGATCTGGGACCAGCAGGAATATTCATGGCTGGATGGGGAGGGGAGGGAGGGTTGTTGCTGCTGTTTCCCCTGTACAGATGTTTCTCACAGCCCTGGCTTCCCTGCCTTGTCTCTTGGAGAAGAGGTGGAAGAGGAGGGTGAGCCACAGGTGGCACTGATGGGTCCCCTGGCTCTGGCAGGGTCCTGCCCTGCACCCCAGTGCTGCAGCCCAGCCCCTGGGGTTTGGGGTGTATTTGTGCCCCCCCGGGGTTCTGCCCCAGCCCTGACACCATCTCTTCCCTCCAGCATCCCCTCCCAGAGCAGCATCAATCAAACAGCATCTTCCAAAGCAGCATCCCTCCCAAAACAGCATCCTCCAAAGCAGCATCCCTCCCTAAACCAGCATCCTCCAAACAAACAACCTTCCCCCAAGAATCCCTTCAGACCTTTTTTTTATAATAACATCCCTTCCCAAAACAGCATCGCTCCCAGACCAGCATCCCTCTGAGACTAGAACCCCTCCCAAAATCTGCATCCCTCCAAACCAGCATTGCTTCCAGACCAGCATCCTCCAAACAAACAACTCCCTGTAAACCAGCACCTTCCAGACTCTAATCCCTCCCCAAACCAGCATCACTCCCAGGCCAGCAGCCCTCTGAAACCACCATCCCTCCCAAAATCTGCATCCCTTCAAACCTCCATCACTCCCAAACCTGCATCCCTCCTAAAATCCGCATCCTTCCCAAACCCACAAACCCACATCTCCTGAATGAACATCTGTTCCCAAACCAACATCCCTCCCCAGGCAGCACCTTCTAAATTCGCATCCCTCCTCAGACAGGCATCTTCTGAAGGAGCATCTCTCCCTAAACCTGCACCCCCTCATCCAGGTCCCCTTCCCAAGGACTGCCCATCCCAGGGCCAGCAGCTATCCCAGGGCTGGCACGTGCCCCTCAGAGCAACAACGGGTGGGATTCACCAGCCCCGAGAAGCTGCTGCACTGAATCATCTCAATTACAGATTCTCTTGGATGTGACTTGGTGAAAGAAAAAAAAAAGAGAGAGAAAAACACAACAAAAAAAAAAAAACAACAACCCATCCCTCTTCTTCCTCCTCCTCCTCCCCTGGGAAGGAGCGATGGCAGCATAAAAGGAGCTCTCCCAGCACGGGGCCAGACACAGCGCGAGTGGCACAGCCCCGGGCACCCTCCACCATGGCAGAGCCTTCGCTGCCCCTCTCCTTCCTCTGCCTCCTCGCCTTGTCCTCCGCCTGCTACATCCAGAACTGCCCCCGGGGCGGGAAGCGGGCGCTGGCCGACACAGCCCTCCGACAGGTACGGGATGGATGGGAGCCTGGGGCGCGGGATGGGGCTCTGGAGGGGGCAGAGCGGCCCTGCGGGGTGCGGAGGCTCCTCGGCACCTGCTGGCACCGCTGGCCGTGCCACACTCCCCGGAGCAGCGCGGGTTTTTTGGGATGGCTGGGGGACGTGCCCGAGGGGGAGCGGCGGAGGAACGAGCATCCGAAATGCTGTCGGCACCTCGAGGAGAAGCTCGAACTCGGCCGCAGCAAAGCATCCCCCTGGATGAGGGGAGCAGGGGGACAGGAGGACAGGACAGCGCGTGGAGAGGGGACAGGGAGGACATGAAGGGCAGTGGGGACCCCCCAAAGTGGGGCCAGCGCCGCAGCACGGCAGGGACAAGCCGGTTCACCCTGCGACAGTGTGGCACCTCCAAGGGCTGGGAAAGGGGATGGTGGGGAGCTGCTTTCTAACACAAGAGGGTGCAGGGTCCACCCTGCAGAGGGTCCATCCCTTTTTTTTGGGGGGAATACGGGGGACTCAGGCAGCTCCTTCCCGCAGTGCATGCCCTGCGGCCCCGAGAACAGAGGGAACTGCTTCGGGCCCGGGATCTGCTGCGGCGCCGAGCTGGGCTGTTACCTGGGCACGGCGGAGACGCGGCGCTGCGCCGAGGAAGACTATCTGCCTTCCCCCTGCCAGGCCGGGGGGCAGCCCTGCGGCTCCGGGGGCCGCTGCGCCGCGCCCGGGATCTGCTGCACCGCCGGTAACGGGGCTGCTGGGACCGCTGGGGTGGTGGGATGCAGGGTTTGGGGGGGTCTGGGGACCACGGGGGGGTCGCAGGGGCGTGGGGCAGAATTCAAGTTAAGCCTCGTCTGCTGCCGGGGTTTAACCTTCCAAAGGGAGGCAGGGAGCGGGCGCGGTGCTGGCTCCGTTTGGAGGCATTTTTGGATGGTTGGATTCAGGGAAGATATAAGGAAGGAATTGTTGGCTGTGAGGGTGGGGAGGCCCTGGCACAGGTTGCCCAGAGAAGCTGTGGCTGCCCCTGGATCCCTGGAAGTGTCCAAGGCCAGGTTGGACAGGGCTTGGAGCAACCTGGTCTAGTGGAAGGTGTCCCTGCCCATGGCAGGGCGTGGAACTGGATGATCTTTAAGGTCCCTTCCAACCCAAACCATTCCCTGATTCTAAAGGATTGGTCTTGCAGCTCCTTCCCGACCCACCACCATAAGCTTTTTCCCCGTCAGGCACATTCAGCCTCCCCAATGCACCAGGAAAAACCCCCTAATCCAACCCCATTCCCGGTTAACGGGGAGGCACAAAACTGGAGCACGAGCTGTGCGGCGGCCCCGGGCTGCTACCTACCCCTTCCCCACCCATAAAATAAACCACCCGGGGTCCTCAATAACCCGTTCCCTCCCCACGTTTTGCCTCCCGCTGAAGACACGTGCTCGATGGACTCCGCCTGCCCGGACGAGGGCGGGGACGGGGCTCAGGAGGAGGCGGAGAAGAACCTGACAGTGCTGGACGGCTCGGCTGGAGATCTGCTCCTCAAGCTCATGCACTTGGCGAACCGGCAGCAGCAGCAGGGCAAGCACCCCGTCCTCTGAGCCAGGGCATGGGGCGACCCCCCCACCACCACCCTCACCGACCCCCCCACCCCGGCACTGTACATACGAGACCCAATAAAAGTCCTCGTGCACTGTGGTGGCTTCGTCCTGGGCACTGGGGATGGGTCACAGGGGCTCCAGGGGACCTGTCTGGGGATCAAGGATGGGGGTGTTGTGGAGGGGTTTCATCCCTCTTCCCCAAATCCCCACTGAGAACGGGTGGTTTGGCTCCCGTCTGCAGTGGTTTGGCTGGGCTGGGTGCAGGATTTGGCCTCGTTCTTGCAGCAGGAGCGCTCAGGCAGAGCTGGACTTTGGGATCTGGCCGTCAAGTCCCTACCAGAACCCCCAGCAGCACCCAAGGGTGCTCAGCCATCCCCAGCCCCGGGAGACTGGGGATGTCTGGGATGTGCCACCATCATGTTACCTCTTGGCCAAGTCCCTCTTTGGGGCAGATTCAGGGTCTTGTTGCCTTCAGGAACCAGCATATCATCTACCAGAAAATGATAAAAAGCAAGGAAAAGCACCCAAAACCCCCCCAGAACAGAAAGGTTTGGGCTCCCAGCTCCAAACACCCCCTTGGGCTGGTCTCATCTTTCCCCACCATCACTCACCAAACCGGTCCCCTCTGGACACCGACAGGCAGGATCAGTCTCCCAGTTATCCCACTGTCACCCCCTCAGATTTGGGGTACTGTTATCCCAACCCCCTCCGCACCCTCTCCCAGGTCTCTTACCCAGTGGGGTCCCTGCTCCGAGCTCTCTCCTGGCTGGGACTGGCCAGGGCACAGGGGACAGCTGGTCCTTTATAGCATTCTCGAGGGAGGTGGCACCTCTGAGGAGGTGGAGCTCCCTGACACCGGTGGGATCCATCCTGCCAGCTCCCAGCACCGTGCAGGGGGTGCAGGATTGATCCAGCCCCTGCTCCCTGCAGCCAGCATCTCATCCCAGACCTGGGGAGGTGAGCAACCCCAAATCACCCCAAAATCATTGGAAAAGGGGCCACACCAGCATAGACAGGGGGCTCCATGCTGAGATGAAGGAATCAGGGTTGTTCAGCCCTGCCCTGGCACTGAGACTGCTCCCGGATGCGGGATGTGAACCCCAACATTCCTGAAGCACCAGGGACACGTGGTTGAGCCAGGATGATGCTCCAGCTGACAGAAGCCTCAAAATCGGGGTGTTGAGTCCCCGAAAACACCAGAGGCTGATAATTGGTGGGTTTTCCCCCCATTCTTCTTCCCAGTACACGTCTTGCGGGGGTCTGGGAACCCCCCGAGCAGCCGCAGGGGCTCCAGGATGGCAATTCCCCCCCTCCACCCTGTGCCACAGCTGGAGCTGAGCTGCTGGGACAGCACACGGCAGGTGCTGAGCCCTATTTCCAACCATTAACACGGATCCCAGTGCCTGGCTTGTCCCCAGGGAGCAGGACTGACCCCGGGTGGGTGATGGGGACCCAGCTGCCCTCGCGCCGGACGCGCTAAGTGGCGGATTTGGAAGCAAAGCCAGAGGGACGGGAAAAGGTCACGGCTGTCGGGCTCTGGGCTGCCTAATTCCCAATTAAGCCAGTGCAGGGTAATGATCTCGATGGACAGAAAGTGTTGTCCACAGCAGGGAAATTTATTCAAGCTGGGAAAGCTCCTAATTGGGATAACGAAGGTGAGGGGCTGGGGCGAGCAGGACCCTGGGCGGTTGCGTCAGTCCTCAGTCTCATACTTGGGAAGCCTTTGTGTGCTGATGGTGTGGTTCAGGGCACTACATCCCATCCCCACGCGCTGCTCCAAGGAGAAACAATGGGGAAGTTCAGGATTTCAGGTCTTTGCCCAGGAGGTCTGGTGTTTTCAAGTGGCTGTGGTGCTGTTGGGTGGGTGGGGATGGGCTGGGTGTCACCATCGTCCCAGAGCGGGACGAGCCCAGTGCTGAGCATCCCCCAAAGGCCAGGCAGGGGTGGGTGGACAGGACCAACAAGGGCATTTCCCACCCCACATCTTGTGGATGATCCCAGAGGAGGATATGGGTTCACTTTTTACCCACCTGAAGGGATTTGAAGCCAAGGGAAGCACACGCCCCTCTCACCCTTCTCCTGAGTGGACGCATCCCACCCGCAGCTGCCTTCCTTCATCCCTACCCTCCCCATGCCAGAGGGGCTCCCAACAGGACATGGAGGGACATGCCACAGCTCAGCAGGGCTGGCAGGGAAGGGCCCTGAGCCCCAAACTCCATCGGCAGCCTCTGCACGTTCCCCCTGCGGCCATCGGAGCCGTCACCGAGGAGCAAACCAACACCTTGGCCTTGCCCTCACGTCCTTGACCCCTGGCTATTAACCGAGCCCTCCGGTGTGGGAAGCAATGCCTTGTGGTTTTTAAGGAGCACGGGTGACGCCGGTACCCAGAATCCTAAGTAGGAGCCGGGACTATAAATACACGGGCAGCGGTTGGGCTGAGCATCCAAAAAACTCTCCCCGTCCCGCCGCCATCATGTCCTGCAAGGCTCTGGCCCTCTGCCTCCTGGGGCTCCTGGCTCTCTCCTCCGCTTGCTACATCCAGAACTGCCCCATCGGGGGCAAACGCGCCGTCATGGACATGGAAATCAGGAAGGTAGGTCCTGGCGGGTTTGGAGCATCCCTAACCCCATCCTTCCCTTCTTCCCAACCTTCTTTCCCTCCCCGCTCCCCCGAGCAGTGCCTGCCCTGCGGCCCCCGGAACAAGGGCCACTGCTTCGGGCCCAACATCTGCTGCGGGGAGGAGCTGGGCTGTTACCTCGGCACCTCCGAGACCCTGCGCTGCCAGGAGGAAACCTTCCTGCCCACCCCCTGCGAGTCGGGACACAAACCCTGCGGCAGCGGCGGGAGCTGCGCCGCCCCCGGCATCTGCTGCAGCACCGGTGAGTCCTGGGAACTCCCGGGATTCCTGTCACGGGGTCCTCGCACACCTGGGAGGGAATTCAGGGTTATACAGGACAGTGGGAGAGGGGATGATGCCCAAGGGGTTCGTCTTGGTCTCATCCATGTGTCAGTTCATGGCCCCTAAAAGCCAGGGCCACCCTGCTCCAGGCAGAGTTTATCCCGATCCCAGGGAAGAGACATGAGACCCTTCAGGGAGGTTTTGGGGCAGGAGGGAAGCAGACAGCAACCGAATTTTGGGGGCTGAGCAAGTGCGGGATTCCCGTGGGGCATGGCAGCACTCCTGTGGGGTACACCAACCCATGGCCCTTCCTGCTTTCATGAGTTTTCCAGAAATCCCAACCTCCTCCCTAAATTAAACTACCAGAGATCCCACTACCAATCCCAGGAAACGCCAGGGCACATGGTGGGAACATGAGCTCATTAAACCCCAGAACCACGGGGTCCTGGGCACTGGTTTGGGGGTCCCCAAGGGCTGTTTCAGGGAACTCTG